ATATTTTCTGAGATTATTTACTACCTTTATTTTCTCATTGGTTAATAGTCTCCCTTTCTTGCGATTTGGCAGTCCCTGAAAAGATGGGGACAGATGGGACCAGTAGCTTTGTGCTTTCAACTGTGTGACTTTTGCAGACTAATTTAGATGGAAGAGACTTGTGAATTACTACAAGTTGTTTCTTGAGGCAGTAGATTTTTCTGTGAGCACATAGGGAGCTTGGGTCAAAAACCATAAATTGCAATGACACAGGATGGCATCTGAGAGATAAGAACTTGAAATCTTTGTGACTTAAATACTTTTAACCTCATTTTATACATGTTTTGTAATTTTCCATGGTTTATCAAGGTTTTAGTGTATGTGTCAGTAGAATTTCTTTCTCCTTTGACAGAATCATTCATACTTGTTTACTAAAAGTTTATCTCTCTTGGAGAATGATTGCACCAAATGGATGTTGACAGAGATGCTAAAAGTGATCTTGGATGAACAAGACCTGACATTGGATCATTACTTGACATGTCAGTTCAGCTCGCTGAAGCAGGGGCTATTACAGATAAAATAGGGACCTTCTACATCAGATAAGAAATATTTTGTGACACCTCTTAAGTTTTTTCTTTCTTGATCACATCTGTATCTCAGGCTCCTAGAACAGTACTTGGCACGTAATATGCTCTTGATAAATATGTCTTGAATTGAGTGAATCAAGATAAGCTTCCATTATTTTTATCCCTGATTCTCAAGAACTCTCCTATCCTTTGCTTTACTACTATATTTTGATCATGTGCTCTTATCAGGATATAATATTCTGATATAGTAATAATAGTTGAAGTTCTACGATTAGAACTGCCAGGCAGCATCCTAAGGATATTTCATGCATTTTGTAATTTAATCCTCACAGTTTCCTCTATGATGTAGGTACAATTATGATCCTAAACATCTAAGCTATATGAGAGTAAGAATTTGGTCTTGCTTATTCACTGCTTTATCTATAAGCGTAGAATATTGTGTGGGACATAGTAGAAATGTAATAAATATTCATAGAATGAATACATCAATTTATTTTTCACTGATGAAGAAACTGATGCTTATTATTCATCAGCCAAATCCAGACCTTTTTGAGGCAGAACACAAGATCTTTCAAAATTTGTCAAGAAGCTCTAAGCCCAGCCCTAACCTTGCTATAGCGAATGTACAACTTTGTGTACGTTTTCAACCTGATGTGCATCTTAAGCTAAGGATAAAATCTGTCAGAAGTTTTGGCTTAAGTCAGAATATGTTTGCTGTTTATAACCTCAATCATCTTTGATGGTACATGGCTTCAAATATATTAAAAGCTCCTTCGATCTGCTGCATATATCATTGTTGGATTTAGATATGTAAAATGGACCTTGTGCTACATCTAGGAGTAGTAATGTTTTGCCTGGTATGCTAAGGGAGATTTGGATTTCTGAAACCAGAAGATTGTGTGGAGCTTGAGATGTGGCAAAACTGAAAAAGTTTGGGGGCGTTGTGAAGACCAAAAGACTTAGAACCAGGGGAATTTAATATTCTGTTAGAAGTTTCTTTGATTTTTTGTAATTAAAATCCTTATGAGTCCCCACAGATATGTCTACTAGATATGCAAATAACTTGTTAAATAGATTTTCTGAAAAACTGAGGAAAAGGGGGAGACTTACATTTAAGTTTTTATATGGAATAGAAAAATAACCCATTACCCTAACTAATTGAGCACAAACAAAAGCTTGGAAAACAGAAAAAAACATTCAGGAAAATGCAGAAAATTTTAGCTATGGGAGGAGATTATCACTTCCATAGGGTGTGAAAGTTGGTTTAAACCAATTATTAAAATAATAAAATGAGGCCTTTAGACAGAGTGTCTCTAATGCCTTGGCAGTCTATGTAGGCAAACTAAAACCTTAGCCAGTCAATGCACTCAAGTCTGAGAAAATGAAACCTCACATCAACTAGTCAGTTAACTAAGCTTTCCCAAATAAGGCAAAACCTCCTTAAGCTAGAGCCAATCAAATAATTTTCTTGCTTTGCTTCCATGTCTTCTCTATAAAAAACTCTTTACTAGCTTCCAGCCATTTTTAGTTTAGTGCTGCCCCATTTTGAGGTACGCTCAATACACACTTGAAAATATTAATGTACCTCAGTTAATCTTTCAACACAATCATATCTAGGTGTCCTGGGAAAGAGACAGTTCAGCCAGCATCTGGCTCACACTCTGGGCATAGTCAATTTCCTTTCTTGTTCATGTTCTTGGTGCTCAGATCCTTGGATTTCAACTTCTGATTCTTTAATCCCAAATTCCTTGGGTGAGTCCCTGGCCTCTTACTTCTTTTTCCCTTCCCTGAGTCTCTGATTCTTTCCTATCTTTTCCTCCAACTTGAGATCTATTACCATATTTTGACATATAAAACTGTCAATTCTTTAGCTCTTGACTACTTATATATCTTCTTAATTCATCAATTTATCTAATCAATTATTACATAAATGTATTGAGGACTTACTATATGTCAAAAAAAGTATAGGCAGACTTTATTTGAGGAATCTCAGACGATGAAGGTGGGATGCAAAGGCTACCATAGAGAGAATCTGGAAAAGCTTCACAAAAGTGGTGTCATTCATGATGGGTCTTAAAATACCAATGGGATGTTGTCTGAAAAAAACACAAGGGGAAGGGAATTGTAGATAGAGGCAAAGATACAGAAGCAGGGAAGCATATTGGATTAGAACAATGATAAATTTAGTGTGGTTGAAATGTAGGGGGAATGAGGTGGGAGATAAATCTGTGGAAATAAGTTAGAATGAAATTATGATGTATCTTAATATGGTACGATGATGATGTTGGGACAAACACACTGGGAAGAAAGAGCCAAAGTCCATTTAAATATGGTTTTGTTTCTTAGATTTAATGCCAATGGGAAGGGTTAAGCACAGTGCATAGGTCATTGGTGTCAGGTTGGTGGATTAGGAATCTATGCTATAGCGCTAGACCAGGTGTGGCAGTAACAGAATCTTGACTTTGTCAGGGCAGCAAGGTGCCCAACTACTAATATTCTCCTTCCCAGGCTGCAGTGGACATGGTGTTGACCAATTATATGTAAGCAAAAATCACTAAATCAGGATTCTGGGAACACTGCTTGAAAGGTACCCTGATAACAGAGTGTGTCTTCAGCCGCTTGCCCTTACCCTTCTTCCTGCCTAAAATGTGATTGGAATGTGTGTAGATGTGGCTACCATCTTGTAAAATGAACAGGAAAGCTACCCAGGAGGGATGGGGGAACAGGAAAGTTGAATGACTCAGGGTCTTTGATAATCCCTGATTGATCATTACTGCTTAACTTTCTCAACTCCAGATTTTATGTTACATGAGGAAAGCAAACCCTATATTGTTGAATCCACTGTTGGCTGGATTTTCTGTTGCTTAAGTTTGAATAAATTTTAATTGGTACCTTGAATAATAGAGAATGATGACTTGAAATGAAGGAGTGATAATGTGGGTGGGGGAAATTGAGAAAAATAAATCGAGTCATTTCTAAATAGCATTAGAAGTGATTGGTTTTATAGGGTGAAGTTGATTTGAGTAATAGTGTGCTGGATTGGGAGTTCAGGAGGGTGCCATTTGCCCTCCTGAGCAGGAGGGTAATAGAAGATTGCTCACACATGATGACATATGACCTTCGCCAGGTCCAATCTATCTCTCCAGTTGTTTCAAATGGTTGCTGTTCTGGCATTTGGCCAGACCCAGAGCTTTGTTGAGAAAATGCCTGGCCCTGTTCACAGGTACTTTTGTGGTTCACAAGGTACGAATTGTTTTCTGGAAGAAAATTTATGTCAAGCTGTTTATTTTTCACAAAAAGAATATTAAACCTGCCACTTCACTCTTTGATATCTAAAGTGAATGGATTTTTCTATTATCAATAATACATAATACCCACACTTTGGACAAGTACCAAGGAGCTGAAACTTAATTGATTGTGATACAGAACCTGCCAAATATGCGGTTGAAGCAATGAGGTATTTAAGAGAAGGAATCTATACAACACATTAGCCATCCATTCCTCAAAGCACTCTAAAAGTTCTCTTTGGATGTCAAGTTAAGTAAATAATTAGAAAAAAAAGTATGCTAGGGCTACATAAACATAGGTCCTATTAGCTTTTTATCAAGAATCGATAAGGATCCACAAAAACAATAATATCCATGATTTATTGAGCTCTGTGTTAAGCATTTGACATCACCATTTCACACAACAACACCTTCGTTTCAATATTATAATTTCCTATTATCAGATGAGAAAACTGAGGCTCAGGAGGTTAAATAATTTCCCCAAGGCCACATAGCTAGTAAATGAAGGAGGCAGTATACAAACCCAGGTCTGGGATTTGAGATCCTCTGTTTTTTAAAAAATGATACCATACTGTGATCAATAATAGCTGTGCAAGATGTCCACTTTCTCATTCCCAGCCACTGTGAATATGTCTACATGATTAAATTCAGGACATCAAGAAGGGGAGATTATCTTGGATTTTTTGATGGGCCCAACCTAATGACATCTTTCCTGGCTGTGGAGAGAGGGAAATATGACCATGGAAGAATGGTCAGAAAGATACAACTTTGTTGGCTTTGAAGATGGGGGAAGAGAGACAGGAGTCAAAGAATGTTGGCAGCCTCTAAAAGTCATAAAGCCAAGGAAACGGACTCCTTTCGAGTCTCCAAAATGCACATGTTTCTGCTGACACCTGATTTTAGCCCCATGAGACCCACATCAAACTTCTAACCTCTGCAACAGAAAGATGGTAAATTTGTGTTGTTGTAAGCCACGAAGTTTGTGCAGATTGTTATGATAGGAATAAAAAACTAATACATGTGCCAACTCTCTAACATATTTGCTAAATTCTTCCTGACGTTTACTTCTGGAAAAAGTATGTGTTCACTCAAATTAGCATGAAATGTATTCAAAGCTCAATGATGTTTTTCTTTTTGCCTTAGCTGACCCGAATGCCAGAGCCAATTTTAGACTTTAACTGTAATTATGTTACAGGTAAGAATATTTTTTTTCTGTCTTCTATATGGTTTCTGATCTCTTCTTATATTTTTCTTTTTGCATTTTCATGTGTATATTCACACATGTACTTTTATATCAAGATGTTGCAGAGAGAAAGAACAAGAAAGAAAGAGAGAGAGAGAACTAGAGAGAATAAATGGGAATAAGACAGAGTGGAGTTAGGACAGGGAGAGAGAGAGAAAAGAAAACCAGTCAAGTTGTTTTATGAAAGTGGAGAGATGATTTTTATACTGAGATGTCTCAGTGGTATCAAGGGACATATTTGAATGATTGCTTTTAAAACTTAAGATCATCCTAAAGTTTTGTCCAACTTTATAAATGCTTTGAAAATGGGTATTCTGGGAAGCGGTATTACCTTGCCATTGCTGTTTTTTGCTTATATGTACCTATCAGACCTATGTCTTTCCGGTCATATGCAAATATCCATTTTAGAGATGCAGCCCCACCCTTTCTTGAGGGGATTTACATACAATTACACCTGGACTGTGGTATTGTAATGACACTGCTTTCAATTTTAGCGGGGAGGTTGATGAAAACATAAGAAAGCTGAATGCATTTAAGACAAAGATTTTAATACAAATGAGATTTGGTTTGTACCTTGCTGGGTGTACAAAAGGTAGGCTGACCACATTGTCAGAAGGGAGCCACATCATTAATCAGAATCCTGTTCTTGCAGGACGACGGAAAGTGAATTAGGGAGTCATGATTTCAGAAAAAGAAAAATAGCCTTCTGCCACCTCCATTGCAATATTTGTGTAACTAAGCAACAAAATTCTCCTATTTAGCAAAGCCCTAATGATGCTGACAGTATGGTCTTGGAATAATGCTTAATACAACTTCATTATCCCCACCACTCTAGCTCTATTGCATATGCAGTGCCTGATTAGGGAGAACGAGAAGCAGAGTGAATGCTGTTTGGTGCACCTGCATCTAAAAAGACCAAATAAAGTATTGATTTGGATGAATCTAATGACGGTCATTTAGCGTGTTTATCTACTCAGAGCATTCATTTGAGCTGACAAAGAATGCCGTACAACCCACTGTTAAATGTATCCTAGAATTGTAAAGCCTTAATGATTCTGTCATACTAGGTCACATAGACACAAAAATGGTGACATTGGCTGTTACCAACTCTATTGACACCTGGTTATAGTCTATCTCGAAGGAAGATTTTGAGGAAAACTGAAGATTGAAATCACCTGACGGTTTTTCGTATGCCTTTTGAAACTTGAAAAACCTCCTTTCTGCGTTAAGGTTTCTGTTATTTCTGCAGAAAATCTGATTTTAAGACTCGAGGAAGATTGTTTCTTATTTCCTGCTTTTCATGCAGAGAAGTTGCTTCAAAGGATACCAATACCTTTGCAGAAATTCTCTTCTTCTTGTATTTTCTCCCCCCTCTCTTTTGACCCTGACTTTTCTTCCAAGTATGCGGTTTCCAAGGGTTATCAGCATGGAACAGATGTTAAAGAAAGATGCTGAAAATAAAATCCATGACTGTCTTGTTTCAGAATCTTTTCAAATGTTATTATGGCCTCTAATAAGTGACATTTATGCCATAACATTTTAAATTCACAAAGCAGTTTAGAGGTATCCTCCCAATTTTTCCAAACGATCTCACCATCCTTTGTATTGACCTTTCTCTGTTATCGGATGCATTTTTATAGTGCCCGAACATAGAGACATAAAGGGGAAATATTTAATGTTTCCTTCTGCCATTTCTGTGGTAACATGCAACACTTAGAGCACATGACACTAGACGATTTTATTCCTCTTAGAATTAAAATAAAAATAAAAAAAGGATAAAAAATGAGCACACACATAACTTCTTTAGAAGTGAGGGGTAGACTAAGTGGAAATAATCTTCTAATTAGGCTAGCAGTGAGAGGTCAAATCCTCTTCTGATTCTTTACTGGTAAAGAGACACACATTAAATCAGGCCATTCAGATCCAACACGACTGTTATATATCCTCAACTAGCTTGACAAAAAGTTAATGTGGTCAGCTATTTTTATTTTTGTTTATATTACTTTGGCAAAACTTTTCACTTTGAATACTATTCTGGTGTTCCAGAGAGGGGGAAGAAACCTCTTGGCAAATGTTTACTTATAACAATAATAAATTACATAAAAATACATCTTGAGCTATAGATTTGGCAAACTGTTCTCAACCCCACCTCCTTCCTTTTTATTTTTATTTAAAAAAAAAATTTTTTTTTCAACGTTTATTTATTTTTGGGACAGAGAGAGACAGAGCATGAACGGGGGAGGGGCAGAGAGAGAGGGAGACACAGAATCGGAAACAGGCTCCAGGCTCTGAGCCATCAGCCCAGAACCTGACCTTCCTTTTTATTTTTAAAATGTGTATTTATTTTGATAGGGCGCACATGTGGGCGTGTGCATGAGCAGGGGAGGGCCGAGAAAGAGGGAGAAAGAGAATTCCAAGCAGGCTCCAGGCTTAGCACAGACTCCAACGCGGGGGTTCAATCCTCTAATTGTGAGATCTTGACCTGAGTCAAGAGTGGGCCTTAACCAAATGCATCACCCTGACACCCCAACCTCACCCCCTTCCTGAGTCAAGTACGTTATTTCAATGGTCTACTTGCATTTAGAAGTTAGGAAACCTTCTTCATATCAACTTGTTCTAGTGGCATTATGGCTTATAGAAAGGAGAGAAGGCAGACTTTTTTTTTTTTTTTTTTTTTTTTTTTTTTCATAACGTATGCCTGATATTGGGCTAGGTGTATTTAGTACATTGTCTCAATTACTTTCCACTTATAAAAAAGTGTCATTTGCTTCATTTTACAAATGAGAATATTGAGGGTCAAAGGAATATTGTAATTGGTTCTAGGTCACCCAACTAAATAAGCGACAGGGCATGGATTGAAACTCAGACTTTTCCGACTTGAAAACATTTTTTTACATTGCCTGCATTTTGAAAATTCGTGCTTGGATCTGAGCTTCAGACATGTAGACAGATCTGAATCATTTTGAACATGTCTCCTTTTTATGAAAGCAGAGAGGGTTAATTTAATTACTAGTTTCTCTTTTAAACTGTGCTCAACTATAATTTAAATGTATATATTATTATGCAATTACATGAAAATGAACCCACAAGGGTAACTCCTTTTGATGCTTTCCAAAGGAGATAATTCTAGCTATTTGTCCATTATGATGTTGTAACTTAAACTTCATAGAAATTGAAGAGTGTTTTCATTGAGTTGTTAATTTTGAAGAGCTTTATATATATGCTTGAGGATTTTTTTTGTATAATTTCTTTTTGTAATTATGGTATAACAATTGTGAACTAATACATGTGTATTTAACAAAAAATTACAACTTAAAAAACTTCACCTTTTTAAAATCATGAATTATCATGATGAAGTAAATTCTCTAAATATGTGCACAACAGAGCTACAGTTATTCAGGTGCTAATAGGTCACAATCTTTCTAACCGTAATTTGAATAGATGTATATAAAACAAGTCATTTTGCCACCTAGTTAGTTTTTAGCAGATGTAAACATTCTTAATATGACACTCCAGCAATGTTACTTACATTTGTAATCTTGAAACTGTGGTTGTGTATATTTAAAAGCTTTCCCAGCTGAGTAACTGATGACATTCACTTCTTATTATGAACTGGTAAATCAATCGTTGGAAGAAAAAATGAGTAACACGTATGCATACAGAGAGACAGATACATCTAGCCTCTACAGGAGACTTTACTGTGATTTATTGGTCCTTTAACGTCTCCTCAGGCTTTTTCTCCTTTTAGGTATATTCCTGGAGATCCATTAAGACTTTTTGGAGAATGTATTAATTTTTCAAGCCAGCAGGATATCATTTAGTCAATAAATAGGTTTATAGCATCAGTTTCATGCACGGCTTAGAGACCTTTTATTTTCTAAGGCTTCGTATGTTGGATTCCAGCATCTGTGTGTTGTGTCCATGTATGTTATACAGTGGTGGTGGGAACTGTTGTAGTAGTAATCTGGCATACTGTATTTTCATTCAACTGGGATTTCTAAAGGCATATAAGGATTATATTCATTTTTTTCTCTCCTAACACCCCATCAATCGGTACTCACCTGGCATCTTTATTAATTCTCTACAACTATCTAGCATTCATTTTGACCAATATGTTGTAGCTCATGGGTATTGGATTTAGCACATTGAACACCTGATGTTCATTCTTTAGGAAATGACCTTTGGTCTAATTTAATGAGGATCAAATTTGAGTCAGGTGTAGTAAATAGAGCTTTCCTCTTGATGACATGATTTACTAGAATGTCTAAGTAGCAAGTTCTTTCTAGGATGGTGCCTCTTATTGGTATAAATCCAATGTTGGTATTATTAGACAATTTCAGAAGGTGGCTTAAAATTTTGAAGTGTTTTGGGTAGGGCTTTATTTTGGCTACTGACGAATAAAATGAATTTCTTTTAGCTTAATGCTATATTTTCACATAATGTGTCATTAATGTTTAATGCTTGCAAGATATCATTTGTGCTAAGTCCCAGGGATTTAGTTATTAAAATTATTAACGTATGGAGCCATCCACAAAATTTTGCATTTTGTGTCTACTTAAAACCATGATTTTGAAATCAGTTGTATCAGTAGATAGTTATTATTTATTAAGCACCTTTTAATATGTGTAAAATACATACTACATGAAAAATTAGATAAACTCAAAACATTAATTCTCTTTAAAAAATTAGGAAACTATTATGAAAGACAACAAACTAATTTGCTTAAATTACCTTTTCCATAGTGAGACTGACTATAATATATGCACTTGTAAAATGCAAAAACCATGGCAAGCATTTAGAAAACTGTACAAATCAAAAATTATCTGAAATAGAAGTAGCCATGACAAAACATAACTTCTGCTTTGGTGAGTTTAAGATGATCTGAATTGGTTTCTAGTTGTGACACAGAAAAAAAAAAAAAAGAAGTTAAGGTTGGGGAAGCACTTCCCTGG